TTTTCCACAAGATCAAACTGCTACTGTTGACATGGAAGATCACGAGGAGAATGCTGACAAAGAACTTGAGTTTATGCCAAGATTGCAAGTTTTTGTGAGGCCTCAGGAGGAAAAAGGTGTATGCTCTCAAGAGAGAGAGGAAACACAACCAGAAACACAACCAGAAGAGGTGATTGCATGGTGGAACCTAGAAGAACATGAAGCAGATGTGTTACCTGATGCACACGCAAGCAGATCTCCTGAAGATAGGCATGGACAATTCTTGCTTAGGCAGCTCAAACCAGAACATCGAAGAATCCTACATGAGATTACACTCACAGGTCAGAATGTCCTCAGAGGTGATGATTTGGAAGGACGTCAACCTTTACAGCGTGGTGACATCAGCTATTTTTCCTTGCTCTTGATGATGACGGCATTAGCACATGCTGAATTCAAGACATTCATGGATTACTATGCTCCAGCAATGGGTTATGAGATCTCCTATGATGAGTATCATGAGTTCAAACTGGCAATTGGAAAAGTTCTTCAGGACAACGAGCACATCACATCAGACAATTTCCTTGATGTTGAGGAGCCAGATCTAGTAGATGATGATCCAGAAACTCCTCTTCCCGATCTTCAAGGACAAAGTCGTGTTGATCCTGAATACAAAGGCACTATTGAAAGTTTGAATGTTGAGGACAAGCATATCATTTTGGGATCAGATGATGACAAGTTGGTTGAGTGTACTCTTCAATGGATCAGCATGTGCAACAAGAATGTTCAGAAAAAGATCAAGGAGAGAGTTGTCAAAGAAGAGGCAAAACAGGAAGAAGAAGAAGAAGAAGAGGAGATTGTTGTCGAAGAAGAAGAACAGGATACACAGGAGCCACATGTACCACCTGGAAGCTCTTATGAGAAAGAGGAACCAGTTCCACCTGAATGCTCCTCAGAGAAGGAGGAATCAGGGGAAAAGAAAGCAGACATTCAAGATGATGAGACAGCTCCTGAAGAAAAACCTGCTCAGAGACTTTACTACGGTCAAGATATCACTGGAAACGAAGATGATTCAGTTTTTCGAAAGTTGAAGGATTGTTTCACAGATGGTTACCATGGTGAATGGGCAGGATTTTACAACAAAGGTTATCCAGCATCTTCGAAACATCGACACATGTTTTGGCATGTAAAGTACAGGAAGACTATGTCTCCACATCAAGATTTTTGGTACCATCTTACAGATGAACAGTTGATGACTGAATACATTGCCAGACACAAAGATCAACAACCATCACAAGAACTAGATGAACTCAAGAACAACATCGAGTATGGTTGTAGTGATCCAAGAATGCATCCTCTTCATCAAGAAAGGTCAAAAGAAGCCTCGAAAGAAGCAGAAAGAAGATTGATGATGATTTTGGAAATCTGACAGGAGTACTTCAATCTTATGTTGAGGAACACAAGGTCTTGCCTTACTGTATGATCTTGCATAGCTTGGCTTACAGATATTTAGGTGGAGGCCTACTAGACCCAACACACAAAGATGAAGAATTTCCATACAGATCCTCTCCACAGATTACAATGATGTTTTGGAATTTGGGAAACTGGTGCAGAAGCAGATTTGAAAAATGCCCAGTTCCAATAAGATTTCAACAATTCATTCCACACATCGATTACAGCATTGATGAAGATCACAACAAGTTTGATGAGAACAAGTCCCAGTTCAACAACTACTTCATCAATGTTATCAAGAACTTTGGAGGACATCATTTTCATGAATTGTGAAGCTGGTTCACTATATCCTCACAGATAGAGACTCGAAGAGGTTCAGTTGAAAACTTGCTTCAATGACTATCATGATTTGATGGTGGCAGCTCGCATACGAAAGGACGGCTATATCAGGCAAATTGCTGGATATTGCACAGATGACAACGACACACGAGTTCGACAAGTCTCATGGGCAATCTTTGAAGTATCTTGGGGAAAGACAAAAGACTGTGATACAGATGACATTGTTGACTTGAAAGGAGCCAGGATGAAGATGACACGTGTGTGCGTTTATCACGTTGGACAGAAGTATGCATCAGACTCCCCTGGTATTGTTGGTGAGTGTTTAGCTGTTATGGCTTTCGGGTGTGCTGGATATCAAGTTGACATCATCGCAGGTGATGGAAACAAGGCATGCTACTACACCACACCAAAATCTCCAGGTGTCCCTACGTATCAACACAGCCTAATACAATTCTGGATTAACAGGATTATGGGTGTTGCAACACAAGCCATGCGCAGGAACCATGATTCAACTTGCCCTCCAGTTAGGGTCAAGCACTTCATTTCTTGCAGTTATCGGGATCTTGATTTTCTTGCAACGCACTTGGATGGCATTACAACAGTTTCATACACCGCAGAGCTCATGAAGAAGACAACGGGCAAGGGTGATTGTTGTATGCTTTCAGTTGTTGAGTGGGGTCATTCACGTCTGGTGTGTGAGGAGTTCCCTGAACAATTTGAGGATGAAGATCACATGAACTATGTGGGTGAATTTTACTTTAAGGTAAATGAAACTTGCTTACATGGTGATCACAACATCTTTATGGTTGCTCCAAATGATCGTGATGCTCATAACCCAATTCTTGTTCACTTGGATCCTTCTGATATGACATGGAATGAACGACATCATTACAAGCCAAGTCAAATGAAGATGAGATATTCTGAAAAGAGGAAGGAAAGACAAAAGGCGAACAAGAGAAAGGCATATGGAGATCGAGCATCAATGTATCAGGGCAACACAAGTTGGGGTGGATCCTCATCTTCGTCGTCCAGACCATGGAGATCAAGCAATTAGCGATGAGTGAGTGTATACTTCTCTAGTTGAAGATAACACAGCATGAGAGGCTTTGTGCAGTTTTTCTGTGCATCAACTTGTTTTTCACAAGATGGCATATACTCTTTTAGATAAAGATAATGCCACAAGTGTCAGAACTTCAATTTAATGTAAATAGATACTCTTGTAAATAGAAATGCTATAACCATTTATCTCCATGAACTTTCTGCGAGCCGACCACTCCGAATGGAGCGAATTCCAAAACTCACCAACTCCGAATTTTGTCCATTGTTTGCTTGAATGAGCAACTTTGGAGATGCGCTATTTCCGTTTATTTCGTGATTTGGTCATTTGTTTTTCGTATGACCTGAATTTCTGAATCTTGCGAATCCGAACATTTCAAATCGAACTTTCACCGGTAGAGCGAGGCATTTTGCCTGGAGCGACCGTGCACGAAGCACAATTGGTCACTACTGGAAAAATTAGCGAATCCGCTGGTTCTTTTTCGGCATGTCCTTAGGACATTCGCTGCTTTCACGTGTTTTTAAATTCGAAGCCACTGCGTAACTCCGGTTTATTTTTGCTATTTGCCATTGTGTAGAGAATACAGGAAGATACTCTTAATACCAATTGGGTACGACAAGGCGTAGTGCTCTACTCATTGCTTTTGAATTTGTGCCTGTGTTTTTGTTTCGACCTAATACCTACAGAGGTACATGCATGAGTATTGAGCACATTTATATGCACCCCTCAAGGCTCAAGAGGTATATAGAGTAACCCTGGGGACAAGCACTGACCGGCAACAGGCTGAGAGTAAAACAGTGCTGTCATTGGGGAAGACGCCTTAGCTGATCTTGAAGTAGACGCTAGGGCCCCTCTTCAACCCCCCCCAACCCCCCAAAAAAAATGCATATATATATGAAATGTGTCGGAAATTCTAGGAAGAAAGTTCACAACGTAGCATCAAGAGCGTCTTCAGTTCTAGGAAGAAAGTTCACAACGTAGCATCAAGAGCGTCTTCAGTTCTAGGAAGAAAGTTCACAACGTAGCATCAAGAGCGTCTCAGGTTCTAGGAAGAAAGTTCACAACGTAGCATCAAGAGCGTCTTCAGTTCTAGGAAGAAAGTTCACAACGTAGCATCAAGAGCGTCTCAGGTTCTAGGAAGAAAGTTCACTACGTAGCATCAAGAGCGTCTTCAGTTCTAGGAAGAAAGTTCACAACGTAGCATCAAGAGCGTCTCAGGTTCTAGGAAGAAAGTTCACAACGTAGCATCAAGAGCGTCTTCAGTTCTAGGAAGAAAGTTCACAACGTAGCATCAAGAGCGTCTCAGGTTCTAGGAAGAAAGTTCACAACGTAGCATCAAGAGCGTCTTCAGTTCTAGGAAGAAAGTTCACAACGTAGCATCAAGAGCGTCTCAGGTTCTAGGAAGAAAGTTCACAACGTAGCATCAAGAGCGTCTTCAGTTCTAGGAAGAAAGTTCACAACGTAGCATCAAGAGCGTCTCAGGTTCTAGGAAGAAAGTTCACAACGTAGCATCAAGAGCGTCTCAAGTTCTAGGAAAAACGTTCAACGTAGCATCAAAACAACGGAGTCAAGAAAAAGCAGCGACAGAAACGTTATTACGCCCCCCCCCCCAACCCCCCCCCAAAACCCCACCCCCACAAAAAAAACAACACCAAAAAGGAGAAAACAAGGTAGAAAAACGGACCATAGGCACAGCGAGAAACAAACAAAATGCTGTAAAAATCAATACAAAACGACAAAATAAACACAAAAACGCCACGGCCATTTGTGGGCGGTGGTCCAACTACACAATATTGCAAAATATATGAGTGAGTACTTTAATTTGCGGTGCACTCCATCTCTAAATTGATTCCTAAAAGCTAAAAGACATTAAATTAGCTCTCGCGCCAACAAAAACTGGTGCTCTACAGAGTTGTCTTCAGTATGTGATATAGGCATGGCATTCCATTCCAAATCAACCAACCCAAGCTATGCCGGGTATGCCGGATACACAATACATCACAATACTGACGATAAGTTAAGTATTATGCAGACATGGACTGGATTGTCTCGAGCCGCTGCTTCAGCATGACATGGAAGTTGCCCGCGACTGACATGTCCTTACACGGCGATGCAGCTCTCAGCATGACATCAAAAAATTTCAAAATGGTTTCTCAGCAGAAAACAGAACGGTTTTGACGAGTTGATCAATAATTGCTCCTTGGACAAACTCGGGAAAACACCCTTAGACCTTGAGCTATGAATGCGTCAACCTGCTACTTATTCACCGATATGGACAGCCCCTACTTGCTCACAGCTGTGCGTCTTCGGAAGCTTTCCTGAGGGCACGAATGGCAATAGGAACAGAACTATCGACCTTTGTCCGCTTTATCGCACGTATGCAGTATAGTCTGAACAGAATTCCAGGTAAGAGGTCCGACAAAATTCAAGGTCGAAACATTCCTCAAGCCTCTCTTTGTAGGGCTGTGTCCTTGCTCCATCATTTCCACCATTTCTCATGTAAGCTGCAACACCTGCACAATTCATGCCTTCAAAATGGGTAAGACTTGCCAACTGCATTCCTTGCGGTTTCCAAACCAATCGTCCAGGCAAATTGGATATCTGATAGAATCCAGCATAGACGCAAGGATCAGATCCATGCATATCGGCCAGTTTCAACAGCTGTTTCCACTGCTTGCGGAGCACAAACTGTCTGAAGCGTTCGTGAGACTCACGTAAACTACGTAGATTCATCAACATCACGCCGCAGTCCAAGCCATCCTCATTCTTCGATGCTGGCACGGTTGAGCCCCAACGCTCCGCAACTCCAAGAAATTTTGGAACCCCAATGCGGCCTGTAGCTGCATACTCGTCAAAGAAACCCTTACCAAACATGTTGCGCATCAATGATTCACGAAGGCTCAGGTGATTCTTACCCAAGAGGTCTTTCCAAAAAATGTCGCCTATGAAAAGAACATCAATGTCTGTGTAGAGAACGAATTCATCCAAAAGCCCCAGGACTGGAATGTCAATGCGCAGCCACTGCGCCATCATCGCATCCAATTGAGCCTCACGAACATTTTTCTGCTGCAAATTCCTTTCTGCAATCTCCAACCATTCTGGTCTGTGGTAGATCACCCTCACGCCCATAGAGACAAGTTTCACAAGCACTGTTGATGAAGGATCCTCTGCAGTCACACAGACTGGGATCAGTCCAGTTTTGGCAGCCGCACTTTTCACAGCCACCATCGTCATGTTGTAAACCAAATCATTCTGCTCAATTTTTCGAGGGAGAGTGAACACCCATTTAATCTCTGCCCTCATTGGAGGTATCATTGTCAATGCATTTGACCGGATACAGTTGATTTCTTCCAATTTCATTGTGCCTCCATTGTAAGGCAAAATTGGCATTTTTTGTCGGGTTCGAACTTCCATGGTCAAAGCAGAAAATGTGGAAATGCTATTGCCCACAAACCAGTCTGCGTTTTGACTGAACATATAGTCCACTGCAGCCCAATATTCTCTCTTGTTGCCAACGTCTGCCGGCAACCCTAGCATGCCTTTGGTGACGACTGTGTAGATGTTGAAAAAACTCTGCATAGAAGAAAGATCTTGCAGGCCTTGAATTTCACGTTCAGAAAGGCCAGTAGCCAAATAGACTGGCAAAGCAGGAGAAATACCCTCTGACAGCAACACATTCCCGATGGAAAAAGTATTATTTATGCAGTTGTCTCTTTTTTCACGCCACGACAGCCAGACTTTGCAATGCGCTTGCCAATCTTGTTCTGCTCGAAGGTGTACGACATGGTAACCGCCGTGCTGAATCAAGTCTTTGTCAAACCGGTATCCAAATCTGCGTGCCTTTTCTCGAGCAGCATCGCTAAAATCTGTCAACAACGCATGCTTGGTAGTCTTGCCCACCCAGAGAATCTCTTGGTTGAACTCCAGCGCATCATTAATTTTCCAAAATTCATCCCAGAAATCACCTCCTTCGACCACCTTGACTTCGAACCAAAATTCACATGGCACCGTGATGCGCAAAATGCGGTTGTTTCTCATTGTTTCCATTGAATTTTTGTCATCCGAAATATGTTTCAATGCCACTTCACCGACCTGAGTCAGAGCTTTGGCCGCCCAGTCTTTCCGCTTCAACTTGATATCCACAACTGTCGTTGGTGTTTCGTCGTCGTACACGATGGCGGCTGGGGGCGTGTCATTGCACCATATTTTGAAAGCTCGAGATTTTTTGCGCCGACACCAAAAAACATGGTACCTGGAGCGTGGTTTGTTTTGCCAAAACTCGAACGTGGAATGTTTGTTAGTATTTGTCCTAATCGCTTGCACAATTGGACAATTGATATCGGTCTACCTCATTTAATGTTGATTTTCCGGGTTAAAAAAAATGGAAACCATACTGGCGGGCCCAGCTGCACTTGTTGGATCATAGTTTCAAAGCGAGTCATGTTGAAGATGTGATCCAAAGGTTGTCTGTTCTGGTCCGTAACCGACACAAATTGAGCGCCATTCAGCACAATAGTCTTGGGCAACACGATTTGCGCCCCCAAAAATAAACCGGCCAAGGTGCCATCTAATAATTGAAGTTTTTGATTTGTCAGTCCATTGCAAATGTGAAATTTGAATTGGAAAGGCACCTGGGCATCCCGCGTAATAATTTTCTTTTTCTGACCATGCATCATCATGCGTTCTTTATACTTTTCTTGGGGTTGCAAGGGAACATTCGTCTCCAGAGATTGCCCAAGTAAGCCAGCAGATCCCGACCACAGAGGAAGTATCATCCGGAGCAAACTTGCACATGTCGCAAACACCGTCAAAGCAAACAAGACCCGAGCATTCGGGAAGAGAGGCCCGAGTCTCAAAACCATTGAGGTGCCCATAGCCTTTCTCCATGGGGACCGGTGGCATTGGTAAGATGTATCCTGCAGAAATGTGCGCAACTGAGACAACTCGGATTCTTTACATTTTGTTCTAGAAACAAAATGATTAAATCCTCTCCCTCTGCGTGATATGTTGCCCGGAATCGTGCAATGACAGGTCTAGTTTTTGCAAAAATTAATTGATCTGCAAACCTGCATTGAAACATGTTGCTGAATGGAATGGCCCAACTTGGAAACCAAGACCGCATTACACGTCATGTTGCCCTTGAGCACGCCCGGCTCGTACAGCACTGAACAACAAAACCACGATCATTGAATTTCCGTGCACAAAAGGGAGTAAATCGTTGCACGCCAAATCCGTCTGTGGTAGCCACACAACTAAATACTTTTCCAATCAAATTTATTTGCAAGTGACGTGGTCTGCGATTTGGAAAAAGTGAAATTAGTATAATTCATGCGATCCCCACAATCATGAAACAATGTTTCCAAAATGATGACACACATTTATCCTGACATTTATTCAGACATAGACTTTGACATTGTTCGGACATTTGTTTTGTTGTATTTTAGGACGTATACTTAGACTCATACTCTGACGTTTTTCAATACATATACGGGCGTTTACTCTGAAATCATGTTGCCTGGTTGAGATTCCCACATACATTTTGGCATTTATTTTTACATGCAGTTTAACATGTAGTTTGACATGCATTTTGACATGCCATTTGACCTGATATATATATATATATATCTATATATCTATATATATATATATCTATATATATATCTATATCTGCCATGCAGCCTGACAAATTGTTCTTTTCCCGAATGCGTAGCAAGGGTTCCCGTTTCACTGTGGGGGCTAGGAGTTGAAGGTGTGTTCGCTCGACGTTGCGTTTATGTTCGCAGCCGTCCGCAACCGTTTGCAACAGTTCGCAACCGTTCGCAACCGTTCGCAACTGTTCGCCGCCGTCCACAACCGTCCGCAAAAGTCCGCGCGAAGGCCGTATGGCCGTGCCTATGGTAAATTCTGCAAAAGGGGTCACTTTTGGAGGTTTCACATGTGGCCTTGCTTCATTTTGCGTGGCAGGCGTGGCACTTTGTGACATTCAGACGTGTTTTGTAATGTGTCGAAAATCGTTTTGTGTGGCAAGCGCAATACTTTTGCAACGTTTTCGGAAGATGAGTTGCAGTTTTCGTGGCAGGCGCAGCACTTTGGACGTGTGCATCGTCATTTTGCGTGGCAAGCGCCGCACTTTAGACGTGTCGTGTTGCGTGTTCTTTGCGAATCCCATTGTCAGGGCTGCGTCAAGTGGCGACAACAAGGTGCAAATTCCGTGGCAAGCGTGGCATTTTGTGAGATGTGCTGAAAATTGACGGAAGCCTCACACGAAACATCGATTTTGAGGTAGCAAATTAAAAGGTTCTATAAGAAAACCCATAAAAAAACATCGTTTTTAAAGCTACAAAGTGTGAAAAATGAAAGAAGTCTCGCAAGAAACGGTGGCTTTGAAGCTCCAACATGTCTTGTCTCGATTCTCTGATTTTCTTTTGCCGTCGCCGTGCAAAACCTTTCCTTATCGAATGTGTCAAAGCAAGTTGTAATGCTGTTCTGCGTGGCAGGCGCGGCACTTTGTGGCATTCCAACCTGTTTGATAACGTGTCGAAAGTCGTTTTGTGCGGCAGGCGCAACGCTTTTGTGTTGTTTTCACAACATGAGTTGCAGTTTTCGTGGCAGGCACGACATTTTGGAGATCTCTGTCGTCATTTTGCGTGGCAGGCACAGCACTCCACACTCCACGCTCCAAACTCTACACTCCACACTCCAGACTCCACCCTTGACACTTCACACTCCACACTTTACATTCCACACTTTACACTCTACACTCCACACTCTACACTTTCCACTCCACACTTTACACTCCACACTTTACACTCCACACTTTACACTCCACACTTTACACTCTACACTTTGCACTCCACACTCCACACTCTACACTCCACACTCCACACTTCACGCTCCACACTTTACAGTCCACACTTTACACTCTACACTTTACATCCTGCACTTTACACTCCACACTCCACACTCGACACTTTACACTCCACACTCTACACTTTAGACACTACACTTTACACTCCACACTCCACACTCTACACTTTGCACTCCACACTTTACACACTCCACACTGTACACTCCCCGCTTTACACTCCACACTGTGCACTCCACACTCCCCACTTTACACTTTACACTCCACACTTTACACTTTACACTGTCAACTTTACACTCTACACTTTACACTCCACACTCTACACTCCACACTCCCCACTCTACACTCCACACTCCACACCCAAACTCTACACTTTACACTTTACACTTTACACTTTACACTCCACACTCTACACTGTACACTCCACACTCCACACTTTACACTCCACACTCTACACTCCACACTCCACACTCTACACTTTACACGCCAAACTCCACACTTTACACTTTTCACTCCACACTTGACACTGTACACTCCACACCCCACACTTTACACTCCATACTCCACACTCTACACTCCACACCCCACACTCTACACTTTACACTCTACACTTCACACTCAACACTCAACACTCTGCACTTTCACTCCACACTCTACACTTTACACTCCACACTCCAAACTTTACACACCAGACTCCTTACTTTACACTCCGCGCTCCACACTCCACACTCTACACTTTCGACACCGCACTCCACACTCTACACTGGACACTCCACACTTTACACTCTGCCTCTACACTCCGCACTTTACACTGTACACTTTGCACTGTACACTCCTCCCTCCACACTTTACGCTCCTCACTCCACACTCCACACTCTACACTCCACACGCCACTCTCTACACTTTACACACTCCACACTCCACGCTTTACACTCCACACTCCTTACTTTACGCTCCACGCTCCACACTCTACATTTTCCACTCCACACTCCAGACTCCACACTTTACACTCCACACTCTGCACTTTACACTCCACACTTTGCACTTTACACTCGACACTTTACACACGACTCTCCACACTTTACACTCCAGACTCCTTACTTTACACTCCGCACTTCGCACTCCACACTCTACACTTTCCACTCCGCACTCCACACTCTACACTTTACACTCCACACTTCAAACTCTACACTTTGCATTCTACACTTTACACTCTATAGACTCTATACTTTACACTCTACACTCCACACTTTACATTTTACACTCCTCACTCCACACTTTGCACTCCACACTCTACACTCTACACTTTACACTTGCCACTCCACACTTTACACTCCACACTTTACACTCTACCTCTGCACTCCACACTCCACACTCCTTACTTTACACCCCTCACTCCACACTCCACACTCCACCACACTCTACACTTTACACACTCCAAACTCTCCTCCCTCCACACACCACACTCGACACTTTACACTCCACACTCCACACTTTACACTCCAGACTCCTTATTCCAAGCTTGACAAACCGTGCACACAAACGACATAACACGGGGATCTATAAAATCTAGATGCCCAAACAGGAATATCATAAAAAGGATACCCTGTCGTAAACGCTAACGCCAGGTCGTTTCCAAAAATTAAAAATTTAGAAATGACAAGTGAAGCTGAAAAACTGCTGCAGCAGAACGACGCATCTTTTTTCAGCAAAGCTTTGGGGTAGAGGTCTCAATTGGCTGGATCAAAGCTTTCCAGCTCAAGGCTCAGATTAAGGGCGGGAGTGTAAACGGGGCGGGTAAAACAAAGATTCCTCAAAAAGCTTGAGGTGCCCACCCATCCCACCGCTTGAGAGGAAATGTCACAAGATGACAAAGATCTGAGCAAATGGTCTGAAGTGAAATGTGACATGAATATACCATTCACATGTTTAAACAATGGAAAGAAACGTACAGTTTCAGTTTCTGAAAGAATAAGATTGTGAAACTAACTGCATTGGAAGTTTGTGCAATTAGGCTCTTAAGACAGAAAAGTTTGTGCGCACTAATTGTTGAAAATACATTCCAACAATTTTGTGTTTGCTTGAAATAAGGCAATCATCTTCTTTGAAGAGCGCTAGCTTTTTCCAAGCTTGACAAACCGTGCGCACAAACGACATAACACGGGGATCTATAAAATCTAGATGCCCAAACGTTATTTTTGGGGCACAATGGACGTGGACAGCTTTAAGTAGCAACCCTGTGTGAAGTAGGAAAGGGGGAGACAAGAAGGTAGAATAAACGCAATACGCGAGGAACAGGGTTATATATATAACCACGCGCACGCGATACGTCGAAAACGCAAATGAACTGATCGGAAAAAAGGTGACATGGAAAACACACAAAAATTGACATCACTGCGACAACATGTGACATGATGGCTTCGCTGAGAAGAACGTGAAATCGGCGCACCCACTTTTTTGTCCAAAAGATTGCTCAAGTCAATTGGGGAAAGTTTTGGATCGGACACGCTATCCGACTGGTGTAGGCAAAAGGGTTCGGTCAGCTTGATTGGTTTCATGTTTCCAATCCAGACCAAAGTTTTCCTTTTAGTGTTTCCAGACTGCCTCTTGCTTGCAGCTCCTATGAAATACCCCTTGGGTCAAACATCAAATGGCTTCCCTGATGCACAGAGTGGAAACTTTGGTCCACTTGAAGGAGAGGCGTGGACATATATTAATTTACCAGATCAATTGAGATAAGTTCGACATGTTTGAACTTCCTTCGAAAGATTGGCAACACCGAAATTGAGAATGCTTGTCAAATGAAGAAAGAAATTTCATCATAATATTGATTCACAAGTTCAGTGAGTAAAAAGCAAAACCAGAAACTTTGGCTAGTACAAAAGAAACGTACAGTTTCAGATTTGTTTGTTTGTTGTTGTCACGTTTCCAAACAACAGGTGAAAGAAATGCATACAGCACACAGGGTCTCCTTAGTTTCTTTCAAACTTCACGTATTAGGTCCGCAGCAGTTCCACTTGTTTTGCAGTACATGCA